TCTGTTCGGCATCCTGTCGAAGGAGCCTTAGCCAGGGACGGCCTTGCCTGGCGCCGAGATACGCAGCTTTCTCTACTTTCGCTTGCGCGCGAGATTTTCATTTTCAGGCGAGCCGGCCTCGCGGCATTGTCGTCGATCTCTTCGATCCCTCTAGCGATCGGTTGATCACGCGTTTACACTTGCTAAACTCCGCGTACCAAGTCACCTTTCGCCATCGGAGAATTAGTATTATCGCGTAATGTAATAATTTATTCGTGTGCACAGGTAAAAAAGCGTTTGTTAAACAAGAGAACGAGGATAGAAATGAGATTTTCCATATACACGAGTACGCTTGTCACACGAGTAAAATAAACAGAAAAATACGAAGATATTTATGATGCCATAATAATACAAAAATAAAAATAAAAAGTAACAAATAGTGTAGTATATATATAATAAATATAGTAGATATAGTAAGTATGTATAGTACAGAAAATAAAATAAATGAAAGATTATCAAAGAATGATTGTTAAATACAAGTATTATCAAAATAATTAAAAACAAAAGAAAAGTGAATAAAAAATAGGGGAGGGAAATTATGTCGAAAGATGGGTGAGAGCTGCAAAAATAATTAAGAAAGAGTATGTAATTAACCCTCGAGTACTTTCGCGGGTTAGATTTCTTGCCCGCGCACCGTGTGGAATGCAGTATCTAGGGATATTACAAACAAATTTAGGTCAATTGTAATTGTCCGATGGTAGACAGGTTATCTCGCGGCATAAAATACAACGAACTTTCCATCCAATTCAGCGGAACACCGTCGCTTCGTTCAGAGGCGTTACTTTCGTCCATTATCCGTCGACGTACATTGCTTTTACTCTTCCCCTTGGTTTTACCATATTTATCGTTATGTTACTTTCACGGTTAATATTTCGAGAATTCGATAGAGAACACGATCGAGGATGTATCTAATAACGACGACGACCACGGCAATATCTTCTCTGAATTTGATCGAGAAACGGGTTGGTTTACGATTGAAAGCGCGATGCAATAGACGGCCCACACGATAAAATTCCGGATGGCACTCGGAAAAGCCTGATAAAGTCGACAATCGAATGGACTGTCGTAGAAGAAAGTGTTCGATCGTGGAAAAAGCAAAATCAAACTCCCTATAGAAATCCTGTGTCAACGATCATTCTTTCCCCTTCGAGAAACGTCGCGAAAAATGGTCCTCGAATTTCTCATCAATTCCCACGAAATTCGATTGAGAAACGGTGTTAGATTCCACGGCATCGATGAGTATTTTTGGCAACGTCGAGCTAAGACTTCCATGGAAAAAGGACAAAGTGCGAATGCAGTCGCGCGGTTCGTCCGCAGTTCGTTTCGCAGGATCGATGCAGATGCAACGAGGAATAAAAAAGCAGTCGGGTAAATTGTGTCGGCGAATCCGCGAGCCGTCGAGCGACGCATCGTTCGATAATGAAATACGGTGGCCGTTACAATCGGCGTTCGTTTACCAAAGATTTATGCGGCCGAGAGATCGGAATTTAATTGCGACATTCGCTGATTGCCTCCGCGGTGCGTGGGTGCATGCGATTCCGATGCGTTGGAAACCCATTGACGAAGTTCTTTGTACAGCCGGATGCAGAGGAGTCGCTCGAATGAGTCGCATCCACGATTATTAAAAATGCACGATCTTGCTTATCGTTTTCTTGAAATCGCGGACGACGTGTTACAGTTTGCATATTGAGAAGCAGATCCTTGCGCCATTTAGAGAGCTGAACGCTCGCCACAGGATCTCGTAGCAACGCTAATTGATTGGAATGACTACACAAAATTCTTCAGAGGGAGCTGACTTTTCGAAAAAAACACACATTCATATTTCTCTTTCGTTTCTCTTCTGGTCAAGTTCCTTTGTACACCACCTTGTAATAAAAATTGTGTAATTTGCAAAATCCTTATTTATCTCAATTGTAAGGTTAATATTATATTTACGACTTTTTTTTATTGTACTCGTGCGACAGCTATATAAAATTTCGTTTCTTTATTTCGTCTTCTGTAATAAAGGAATTTTTACCTGTGTGCATGAATAAATAAATTATTATTACTATTATTATAAAGTATAGTTTACGCTTAATGCCAGACGAGGTTCTAAGTTCGCGAAACATTCACAGTCGTTTTCGCGCGTAAATATGACCGATCTCTTCTTCCACGGTTCAATATAATCTCGCGCGGTTTAAAGCATCGCTTTTCTAAAGTGGAAAATGATAAAATACCTGAACGGACGCGTCTTGGAAACGTTCCGGGATGTTTGCGGAGGCATTTCGCGGACTTTTCGCACGGGAAGATCGCGCTTTCGCGAGGAGGGGTTCGCGTCGGCTGGGATCGTCGCGGAATGGAAACGATGTATAATAAACGGGCGACGAAAGAAAGGCTGCATCGGAATGCAAACGTCGCGGCGAGCCTGCTGGTATTTCGCGAGGTTACCATTCGTCTCTCTCTCTCTCTTCTCCTCTCCTTAGACAGTGCCTGCCGCGCGGAAAATAACGGATCCCATAATTTCTGTCCGCGACTCGCGCGCGCTAACAAATTGTCCCGGCTATCTCCGTCGACCGATCGCAATCGACAAGTCAATCGATTACCATAGTGATCCCATCGTTCCCGAACGGGCCTCCGCTGACTACCGGCTGCGCGATTAAGCGCCGTTTTACTTTCGCGGCGATCGTAATCGGGTCTTTGTTCGCCGACACGTAGCCCCAAGCCGATCCACCGGCCGTTTGACCACGCGAATCGCTGCCATACTTGGTCGCGTGGAAACCGACTGTGCCCGCAGAAGGGGCCATTTCCGTCTCGCGCTGAGAATCGAAGTTCTGTTCCGCGCTATTGTCACGGCGACGCCTGTAAACGACGGATCTTTGTCCAATTTACCTTTTTCTTTCGTCGATGCGAATGTCGCGCGTACCGACTCTTTGACGATTCCAGTAATTGCAGTGTCTCGGAAAATCACTTCTCTCCTTTGTCGACACGAACGTCGCGTGTCCGAGTTTCTGAACGGTAATTAGGGTAGATGTACCGGTTGGTGGCAACGTTATTTGTATGAACTTCAACGCAAGCATTCTTAAAGTCTTGTATCGCATAAGAAATGTGCAAATTTTAATTGATTGTTTAATACCTTTGGGTTTGTCATTTCACTTACAATAGGGTAACAAAGTGATTCAGAAATGATTACGATACAAAAATAGTTCAAAAATTGATCTTTTATGCCTTTTTGGTTTCTTTCATTCTTCGTACTTTTCTTTTCTTCTAATTTCCTTCTTTCTGTTTTTCTTCATTTCTTCGGCTTTCCCCTGTTTTATCCTTTCTGCTATTTTATTATTATTAATAAATTTATTATTTATTATTATTAATTTTATTTGGATTGCATTTTCTTTTCCCACTAATTTCTTTCGTTTCTTTTCGATGTCTGTTCAGATCACATGTATCGTAATTCTACGTTCTTCGTATGTTCAGTTAGTAAACGTAGCTTATTCTACCGACCGTGCGACTTTTACGTTTACTGTGAGAGAAACATACAATTCCCCAGATTCCTTATTAAGAATATAGTTTGGAAACACAACATATTTACAGTTTGAAGCTCTGTCGATCGCTAGAAACTGTACATCTACACCGCATTGTTTCTCGAGCCTCACTCCGTCCGATTAGGTACACAGAACGTTATCTTGTCTCTGTAAACCGAGCACGTCGGCTGGACAACTTCTTCCCGACCTTGTACTTGAGAAATGACACCTGCTGGGCATCCGAAGTGAATTCTACCGAAGCGATCCGTAGTGATCGAACAACAAAACCCGCTGCTACGACGATTTGAATAAAAGCCGGAGATCGAAGATTCGGTAGAAGTTTCCACCATTTCTAGTTCAAGACCAAGTTTGGCAGTGAACGCGTAAACACCGTTGCTTTCATAAATATTATCCCGAGCAAACAATATTTGTTCTTACGTAATCTCGGAACCGTTAGCCACAACTGAGACCGATTTCCTCGAGCAGTGCCAATTTAAAACGCTCAACAGTTACTTACACCTTGCGGTATCCACGTGTAATCAGTGCGTGCCGCCGCCATGTTGCCGCGCTTTATCGCGATTAAAGATACATCTGCATTACACGGACGTGGAGAGAACCGAAGGCGCGAGCCGATTAGGATCGTGTAACGCTTGCTTAACAATTATTCCATTCACCGGGTTCCGGGCCGGGTAAACGCGTTCGCCACTTCCTAGTCAGAAATACGGTTCAAAGTTACCATTTTATTCTTCCGTGACTAGCCAAGTTCGCGGCACCTCAGCTGCACGAGATGCATTGTCAACAATTTGCACTAATTATACGAAGCATTGTTTCCACAAATAAAGGCTTGCTTCGTCTCCTTCCATCAGTATAAGATGACGATAATCGTTTGTCTCGATTGCAATTTTACTGATCTTCTTCAGCAACGCGTACTTAGAGGCAACAGTTACGCAACTAACTTTCATCACTAGACTGCGGACTTTATACATTTACGACGGAAGCAAGTAGGTCGAATACAGCACATCAAATGGAAGACAAATATTGAACAACACTGTTCGATTATTTTCAAGCGAATAAAAATGTTAAGAATGTAAATAAAGTTTTAATTAACCCCTGATCGTTGCAATCTGGATAGAGGATTTTTATTTTCCATAAAGGTTCGCAGTCTATTGATTACATTACCCAAGAACCTGCGTTACCAAATTCCAGAAACTATGACGAGAAATGGTCATTTTTCTCCCAGAATATCAATTATAGGAGAAATTGATATCAATTCGCTGTTCTTCTTTGCGTTAACCACCGTTTCCGCTATTACTTAGCAATCTCTCCAAACCTTGATAAACCTTGCTCGACAACTCTCTTGCCAATTTTCCTACAGACTTCAACACCTTACAGCCACCAAGAAATAGAATCCCCATGGACCAGTTCCCAGGAGTCTAGGATCGCGAAGAAAAAAACACGTCGTCATCTCCTCGCAAGTTTCTCTTTTATTAAAGGCTCCGTTCGGTAATTGATAGTATCACTTAGCTTTAATAATGTACAATACAACATTTAATATTTATATATATATTTATGGATTTTATATATATATATATATAAAAGTTCGGCCGACCCTTATCGAAGTAAGGGCACCCAGCCGGAAGGGAGGGGGGCACTCTCGGGGGCCACGAGTTCCCCTCGGAGCCAGCTGGATGGCTCTGGGGCCCAGCTGATCCACGCTTCTGCCCCCTCCCCGGCCGCGGAGGATCATGGGGACTTCTCCAGGGGGGCACGCGTTCTTCTATTATACACAATCGAGGCGGGCAAATCCTCGGTTTTTGCAACGGAGTGGGGGGGCCCGGCCGTTTCGGTCGGATCTTAGGGAGGGCATCATCGTCGGACCGTGGATGCCGTGGGATGATGATGATGATGATGGACTCGCTGGTCTCGTCGTCGTCTGGGTGGCTCCTTTGTGCTGGCTCCGGCCGAGGCTGGGGGTCGAGTCGTTCGCCTAACTTATCACAGATCGCTGGTGCGACGCGTCGAGCCTTATCCGTGTCCAGGGTTGGCTCTGCCAAGTTCTCTGCCAAATTCTCTGCCAAGTTCTCTGCCAAGTACTTTACCAAGTACTCTGCCAAGTTCTCTGCCAAGTTGTCCGAGTCTCTGGAATCCTATTCCTGAACCTGGGGCGTTCCCTGAACGTCGAGCCGGCCCCCGGACAGGAACCAAGGCCGGCGGCCACCGTGAAACTCGTGAAGATTGGATCGGCTGGGATTTGGGAACAGCTTGAGCCTGGGGGGTCTGACTTAGACGAGATCGGGGCCTACGGGGACCTAGAAGAACCCGTCTCCGGTCGGGTCGTTCACCCACGGGTAGTTGTTCGGGCAGCGCACGCAGGTCTGCAGATTGATGGTCTCGCCGGGCACCTCCTTCGAGGTCAGCTTGCAGGTGTGCGGCACCCAGCAGGCGGGATTACCGTCGACCACGCACTTCTCTCGCCAGGGCTCGAAGTTCTTCGACTCGGTGACCGTGCGCGGGTTCTGAATCCACTGGATCACCTGGGTCATCGTCACGAAGTACACGTCGTTATGGTTCGACAGGATCTCGTCGATCCAATAGAGGAACGCGTCCAGGAACTCGGGGTTGTTCTTCAGCCAGGCGGCATGGAAGTAGAGACCCAGCGGGGCACGGTTCTGCTCGTAGTGCCGGTCGAAGTTGTGGTTAAGGAAGTTGTAGAACTGGTCGCCGGTCAGGATGTTGCTGCACGAGTCCACCATCGCGCAGCCAGGAAGGTATTCGTCGTTCTGCGGGTCCTCGCGACGGTCCAGCTCGTTCATCACCATCTCCCAGACTGCGTGCGATCTGGGGAAGAAGGTGGTTACGGTTTTCGGCTGGTTCCAAGGAAGAAACAGCTTGCGCTTGGTCGGAGTCTTCGGTTGGAAGTTTGTTTTAGTAGAGACGATCGGTGGCTGGGGGTTAGTTAGGAACGATGGCTGACGGATTCTGGTTGAGAAGATTAGGTTGGGATTTTTTGCGGTTGTTGGGAGCGGTAAACTACGAAGGCTAGCTGAGATCAGGAGGCTGAGAAATTGAATTTCTGACTTGTAGCTAAAAGAATAGACTGGCCAAGAGGAGACACAGTAGCTTAGAATGTCTATGAAGCTATGATACACAAGAAGTACGAGCAGGATATGAAGAACAAAGAGAACAAAAGGAGCTAAAAAAATAACAAGAGCAAGAAAAACGAGAAGAACGAAAAGAACAAAAAGATTAAAAAGTACAAAAGGAGTGAAAAGAAGAAGAAGAAAAATGTTGACAGCGATTGCACAAGAAGGTGAAAAGTGGACAGTTTTCGGTTACCTAGTGGGGCAATGCTGGAGGTTCCCGTGGCAGCGATGCGGCATCCTGAAGTACATGGTGTATGGCCACAGCGGCGGGTTGTTCAAAGCCGCAGTGATGGTAGAATCGTATAGGAAGGCCTGTTCCTCCATCATGGTGAACTGGTTATTGCCGCCGACCCTGAGGTAGGGTGCCCTGACACCGACCACGCTGTTGTCGGTCAAGTTGGCGAACTTCTCGGCGATGATCCTCATGCCGGCCATCTCCTTTGCCCAGTCGTCGACGGTCGCGTCCGACCAGAAGCGTTCGTCGTCGTTGTGTCTTTGGGAAATATGAAGTTTTGCACTTATAGCCACGAGACCCCTAGTCGAAGGATCTCAAAAAATCCGAGGAATTTTTCAAACGAATTAACTGTACTCGAGAGCGTTTCAATTAAATCGCGTCCGCGTGATGAACTTTTAATCATTTCCGAACGAGAGATCGAAGCAACTATGATCAAGTTTCTAGTTAAAATAATCTAGTTCCCAGATAAAATAATCTAGTTAAAGTGGATAATAATAGTTGATTTTCGAAATGTACTGGTCGAGCGAGAATATTTCGCGCAAAAAGCACGGTGTCCAATCGAACCAGGTAGGAAATGGCCCCCGGTTTCGCCAGCCGGGGATAATGCGGATTAGAAAGACGTTTAGTTTAACTGTTCTCCAGGGACGTTTTCTTACGAGATAGAGTGAACGGCGATCTCGTGTCCTTTCCGATGCATTTCCTGCACGGCCGAGTAGTTGGTGTACTTGTGGGAGACGAAGAAAGTGGCCTTGATGTCGCAACCGTTCGGGTTCTTGCGTTTCGGGTTGAAGATCTCTTTGTACAGGCCGATGTTGTTGTTGTTGATCGCGTCGTCGAACGTGATCGTGATCATCTGGGGAACGTCCTTGGAGGGCAGGTCGCCGGGGATCAGAGTGCCGTCCTCGGAACAGAAGCAATCGGGAAGGACGCAGACGGCCGGGTCGCACGGCGGCGCTCTGTTAGGGTCGTTGTCCATGTCTGGAATTGCAAACGCTCAGATTGTTCCTCTGGCGTCTTCGATTCCACTTTTTCTAGCACTCCGGACCGACTGGACCGCGTCCAGAGAAAATGAAGGTTGCAATACGACCACAGTCATCGACACATTTAGCCTTCACGTCGTTAGAAAGCTCTTTTTTATTAATTGCGGCATTCTCTAGCTGATCATTTTTATTTTCCTCAATTTTGTGGACTTTCTGCAGTCTAATTCTATTACAACTAGAACAACGGATCAAAACTCACTGGATCTGACTAGAACTCTGCTGAATTTCTAGGATTATAAGATTCTTTTTTTCTGGCTACAGAATTTTAATATAAACAAAATTCAATTGAACTTTTTAGGATTATACATAGAATATGCTCTTCAGTATTTCTAGGTCCTAATTTCTAAACAAGCTACAGAATTTTAAATAAACAAACTTTAATTTTACTCTGAAAATTGACGTCCTAGGCACTATCTAACACGTTGCAGAACTTCGAGTAATTACATTTTTCCTCTACTTGATAACCCCTTCTTCCCTTGTCCTTCACAAACGCTTCTTTTTCGTTTTCCTAATCCTAGTATCTATTTTGTTTGTTTCAACGATCCATACCGTATCATTCTCTTTTACCTTATCAGTTTTCACATTATTTAAATATCTTGGTCACTTACTTTATCTTCTATCGTATCTTTCCTTTTATCGTAACATCTCCTTTCTTTTGTTTTTATTTCTTTTTGATATGCTACTTGCCATAAAAATGTGCTATTTATCATATTATTGTAACACAGGGACTTTCTCCCGTTGATCAAATAAATATCATCATTGTTACTTTTTATTATTACTATTATTATTATTATCATTATTATTAATATTTGTTTTCCATATAAAAACACATAAAATATTGAAAGAATTCACTCACCGCAAATGTTCTCGTCGGATCCATCGGTACAATCCTTCTCGCCGTTACAGAAGAGTCCTCTCTCGATACAGGAGCCATCTCCACAAGCCAGATAACCATCTTGGCAAAGAGGTTCCTCGGTGTAGAGCAAAGGCTTCGCTTTCCGTTCCTTGTTCTTCAGTTTGCAATTGTTTACTGAGTCTTTCCAGTCGCAGGTCTGCTTGTCTATGTCGAAATAGAGTCCCGCGGGACACCTGATCGCCTGCAAGCCGGAACTGGTGCACTGGATCACATCGCGACAGTTGTCACCCTCTCCTGCTACCAACCGGAACCATTCTCCCGCGTCTTTGTCCTTGCAAATCTCGCTCTCGAAGCTCTCCTCCTTTTTGGCGTCCTCTTGCCTCTTCACTCGTTCCAAGCCCTCTGAAATCAGACCGTCAAGCGGCTCTCTTCTTTATCAGTTCTTAATTAAGACCATCGATGCACAATTAGTGGTAGAGTGGATGCACATTAGTGGTAGAATTCTTATATTTTATATTTTGAATTTTACACTGGGGAAGGACGATCTTCAGGTCGCTTAACACTGAACCTATCACGGTCAAATGACTCGTTTCTAATTTTACAATTGTACAAATTGCAAGATCGCTTTCATGAGAATCGATCGAACAAATCACATTATTGGAGCAACCACTATAATGATAACTGTATGGACCTAAAGAAATTGGATCTTGCCAGTTTTGTCAGGCAATGCACGAAGTCAAGTTTATTGATTGGTATGTTTAGTGTTAAAATCTGTATTCAGAGATGAGGTTACAAATACTCGAACAGAATCTTTTGTCGAACGGAGACACTTGTAAAATAAAAATGGCAATACCTTGTCAACATTTTTGTATCACAGTGCTTTTAGACTCGAATTTTTACCATTTACTTTTATAGATCTAAACATAGTTCTTTAAATTATTTTTATTTGCTAGTTGACGTGAGATTCGTCGCGATTCTCTCGAGTACAATCTATCCTCTTGTGTTCAAACTAGAAGTGCGATGAATATATGAATACAAACAAGCTGTGACAAGCGAGAAATATTCTCGAGGATGGTGTGTCCTCTTGTGGAAACGAGACCATCGTCGTTCGAAGTCTGCCAATTTGCTTTCAAGACAAACATAGGTTTTAGAAAAACTCTGACGCGTGTCCTCGAGAGAGCCGCGCAAACAGAAATGGCCGGTCGCGAATTTCGTCGGCGAAACGCCGAGATTTACAGAGTTACGTAACGCAGGCCAGCGATATCAGTTGCGAGATTATGGAAAGTGGAATAGAGTGAGAGTGAGAGTGTGAGAGAGAGAGAGAGAGAGAGAGAGAGAGAAGAAAGATTAGCATTAATATAACTTTAATTTATTCGTGGATCGATAGCGTCGTCGCCGAGCGTTGTCCAACGAAAGCGCGGATTGCCTGTTCCACAGACGTGTTGATAGCACTGCTCCACAGACGTATTGATAGCACTGCTCGACACTAATCCTAAAGATTTCGATACACCGAACTCGAATCCGGAAGAAATTTACATTCGTCGCTGTCAACTTTCGAGAAACTTAATTTTGAAGAAGAAAATCGGATCTCAAATTTCAGGAATTTTTTCTGCCGTAATCACGAACTCTGTTGAAATGATATTTACGTAGAAAAGTTCTATAGAGTTTTCCGAGTAAAACGGTGTAGGTTTTGATGGTATCACGAGTGTTCATTGTGGTTAAATAATGTTTGAAGAGAGACGCCCACGACGCTTCGAGCGTAATTGCCTGTTTTTGTTTTCCAGCATTGGCCAACAGACCCTGCTACCAATTACACACATTTCTTTTTANATTACTATTATTATTATTATCATTATTATTAATATTTGTTTTCCATATAAAAACACATAAAATATTGAAAGAATTCACTCACCGCAAATGTTCTCGTCGGATCCATCGGTACAATCCTTCTCGCCGTTACAGAAGAGTCCTCTCTCGATACAGGAGCCATCTCCACAAGCCAGATAACCATCTTGGCAAAGAGGTTCCTCGGTGTAGAGCAAAGGCTTCGCTTTCCGTTCCTTGTTCTTCAGTTTGCAATTGTTTACTGAGTCTTTCCAGTCGCAGGTCTGCTTGTCTATGTCGAAATAGAGTCCCGCGGGACACCTGATCGCCTGCAAGCCGGAACTGGTGCACTGGATCACATCGCGACAGTTGTCACCCTCTCCTGCTACCAACCGGAACCATTCTCCCGCGTCTTTGTCCTTGCAAATCTCGCTCTCGAAGCTCTCCTCCTTTTTGGCGTCCTCTTGCCTCTTCACTCGTTCCAAGCCCTCTGAAATCAGACCGTCAAGCGGCTCTCTTCTTTATCAGTTCTTAATTAAGACCATCGATGCACAATTAGTGGTAGAGTGGATGCACATTAGTGGTAGAATTCTTATATTTTATATTTTGAATTTTACACTGGGGAAGGACGATCTTCAGGTCGCTTAACACTGAACCTATCACGGTCAAATGACTCGTTTCTAATTTTACAATTGTACAAATTGCAAGATCGCTTTCATGAGAATCGATCGAACAAATCACATTATTGGAGCAACCACTATAATGATAACTGTATGGACCTAAAGAAATTGGATCTTGCCAGTTTTGTCAGGCAATGCACGAAGTCAAGTTTATTGATTGGTATGTTTAGTGTTAAAATCTGTATTCAGAGATGAGGTTACAAATACTCGAACAGAATCTTTTGTCGAACGGAGACACTTGTAAAATAAAAATGGCAATACCTTGTCAACATTTTTGTATCACAGTGCTTTTAGACTCGAATTTTTACCATTTACTTTTATAGATCTAAACATAGTTCTTTAAATTATTTTTATTTGCTAGTTGACGTGAGATTCGTCGCGATTCTCTCGAGTACAATCTATCCTCTTGTGTTCAAACTAGAAGTGCGATGAATATATGAATACAAACAAGCTGTGACAAGCGAGAAATATTCTCGAGGATGGTGTGTCCTCTTGTGGAAACGAGACCATCGTCGTTCGAAGTCTGCCAATTTGCTTTCAAGACAAACATAGGTTTTAGAAAAACTCTGACGCGTGTCCTCGAGAGAGCCGCGCAAACAGAAATGGCCGGTCGCGAATTTCGTCGGCGAAACGCCGAGATTTACAGAGTTACGTAACGCAGGCCAGCGATATCAGTTGCGAGATTATGGAAAGTGGAATAGAGTGAGAGTGAGAGTGTGAGAGAGAGAGAGAGAGAGAGAGAGAGAGAAGAAAGATTAGCATTAATATAACTTTAATTTATTCGTGGATCGATAGCGTCGTCGCCGAGCGTTGTCCAACGAAAGCGCGGATTGCCTGTTCCACAGACGTGTTGATAGCACTGCTCCACAGACGTATTGATAGCACTGCTCGACACTAATCCTAAAGATTTCGATACACCGAACTCGAATCCGGAAGAAATTTACATTCGTCGCTGTCAACTTTCGAGAAACTTAATTTTGAAGAAGAAAATCGGATCTCAAATTTCAGGAATTTTTTCTGCCGTAATCACGAACTCTGTTGAAATGATATTTACGTAGAAAAGTTCTATAGAGTTTTCCGAGTAAAACGGTGTAGGTTTTGATGGTATCACGAGTGTTCATTGTGGTTAAATAATGTTTGAAGAGAGACGCCCACGACGCTTCGAGCGTAATTGCCTGTTTTTGTTTTCCAGCATTGGCCAACAGACCCTGCTACCAATTACACACATTTCTTTTTATTTCCTATGATCAAGCCAACGACTTTACGTATGTTCGAGTAGGAAGTGAAAAGCAATCTTATTATTTTACGTAACGGCTTGCCGGTGCCTACGATTTGACCAATATTTATCTCGTTTGCGTAACTCGACGTCGACCAATATGTTCTCTTTAATGATCCCGCGCGTTCCGAGTTCCCGAAAAATATAAATAAACTCTGCTCGGCTTTCGAAAGCGATGAAAGTGCTAATATCCGAACGCATAGAATCAATTTGCAGTCTATTGAAAATAAAGGCAACGGAAACATCTGATAGAATGAAGAAACCCGGTAGTCTCGGTTCATAAAGGTTTTAAAAAGAAGTAAATTGTTGTTCCGCGCGGCTTTCGCGAGCGTTTCACAAAAATCCGCGGCGCAACAGCGTGTTTTCAGGCTGTTTATGGTTGATTCTGAATAGCGACGAAGCCGCGCGGATGCTAGACGAGATTATTGTCCCGATGAAACTCCATTCCGCGTAGGCAACGCTTTCGTCGTGAAAGCGGAGGCGAGCCGCGTATTTTTACGTGCGGCCGAACACGTGTTTGCTTTCTTCGCTTTGCAGTTTGGAGCTCGCGTTAATTTTATATCAAAGCAGCGAACGGAGAAAGCTGTTCCGGCACGTCTCGACCGACATTGTTTTATTAGTTCCGAATTTGCTCAGCGGTCCGCGTAAATTCGCCGGGAAACCTGCTCCAATTAACAATGACAACGATCGCCGTACGCGATAGGAGAACAAATTATTTGCTGCGAGCTTTTAGGCTTACGGCCAGAAATGATAATAAAACTCATGGCGCCTATCCGGAAGCCATGAATTTTATTAAATTATTTGCCGCGCGAGAGAACGATTTCCTACTGGAAAATATTACCGATTCATTCCGTGAAGAATACAGTAAGACGGAAAATTGAAAGCTGTGGCAAGTGAACGAAAAGTTAATGGATGTGACAGTTAGATGAAAAATTAATAGATGCAACAGTTCGTTAAAAAATTAACAGATGTGACAGTTGGATAAAAAATCAATAGACGTGACAGTTAAATAAAAAATTAATAGATGTGACAATTCGTTGAACAATTAATAGACGTCACTGTTGGATAATAAATTAATAAATGCGACAGTTCGTTAAAAAATGAATATATGTGACACTTCGTTAAAAAATTAATAAATGTGACAGTTCGATAAAAAATCAATAGACGTGACAGTCGGATAAAAAGTTAATAGAGGCGGCAATTCGTTAAAAAATTAATCGACGTAAAAATGAATAAAGATAAAAATGAAGATAAAACATGACTAACCGCCATAGTTAGACCAAGAAAATAAATATCAACGTTTGCTGATCCGATCGTTCCGTTGTATCATACGATCCCGTGGGTTCCAAGAATGCAGAGATCCGTAACGCGAATACAGAACATGACACGATAGTAGAAATAAAAGAAGGAGAAGACGAATAGACGGCGAGAGGCAACGAGAAGAAATAACGAAGACAATGTTATGCGCAAGGGCGACCCGTTCTCCGACCGATCGTCGCATTTCAGGAGAAAGTCGCCGAAGAAGTTCCTCGAGAAGGTCGTTCTCGATCGGAGTGGGAACTCCGGCGGTTTCGTCGCCATCTTGAGGAGGGCAGACGTTGCCCGGATGTTCTGAGTAGAAAGATAAACTGCGAAGACCGACCTTGGTCATCGTCAAGGAAGAAACTTTCACGATATCCCTCGGTAACATCAGTTTCTTAGATAATTCGGTATGTAAAGCCGGAGACGAGCAGGAAAACTTTCAGAGAAAACACTGAAGATAGTCGAACGGCAGCGGGGAACGCGAGACGGAAATTGACGAGTCTTGAAAGATCGTTGACTCGAGGAACTGTCGAGACTTCCAGTCGGTCCGAATCTACTTAAAAATCACGGTGACGGTTACAGGGGGTGGTCCAGTAATTGTTTCCAGATATTGCTTTGGGTTAGATGCGCGAGAAATTTTTATCTTTGGAGGGATCGTGTAAAAGTTCTGGGGCCGTAGGAGTACAGATATTAAAATAAATGTAGGATATTTAAATAATAATAAACAAATTAGGGCGAGAAAAGGACGGCCGAGAAAATTCTGATTTGAATCGCATTTGGAGCAATAAAAGATTTATACAGGCAAGCTCAAAATTGGTGGCCGACAAAAACAGTTTCCTATTTCATATATTCGGAGAAATAGTTTCAGAGCACATCGCGGGGAATTCACTAATATCAAATAGAAAGAAACGTTATAAATTCTTTGTAGCAACAAAAGCGAACACTACAGATAGTTTTAAAAAATGATGGTCCATGATGCGGTTCTAGATTAATTTCCGCGATGAATTCGATCGTTCTAGCGGCTGGATGAACCACTAGCTGCTCAATTTTCACGATAGATTCAATCGTTCCAGGTTCAAGTTTGAATAAATTATTGAATATCGAGTAAAGGAGTTGCTTTATGCATGATTTCGTATCGCTGCTCTATTCTACAGGTAGCTTAAAGACCGTAGGGCCCACGTCGCGTCGATTGGAACCTGTCTCGAGGGACAATTTCTGTCGGGAGCTGCGTAGGTCCCCGGGGCCCGACCGGGGCCGGGGCCGGGGCCGCGACAAACGGGGAAAGTTGTGCGCCCCCCCACCCGCCGATTTTCAGGGCACGGCAGTGACGTCACCCATCCGGGACCGACCAGACCCAGAGAGGCTTTCACGCTCTAATCTCTTATGCAACCTGTCGTCTCTGGCGACCGCGTAGCCGGAGAATCGATTTTCTAGCGCGATCGTTGGAAATCTTCGGAAAACCGCGACAAAAAAAAACCCGAGCACGGTCCGCTGGGCCCGTCGGGGTCTATCATTGTTCCCGGTGACCCGTGACATCTCCGCGGAACGCAGTCTACTCGGTTTCGTTTCCGTGATTGAGCTCTCCTTTCGCGAGCCTCGAAAAGCCCGCAACGAAGCGATACATTCGGGGCCTTAGCGGCTCCAAATGGAGCCGCTAACGAATTCCAATTAAGCGCCGAACATGCCCGCCAGGTGTCTAGGCTCTCGCAGTTCTAATCCCGATCCTAAAAACCCATTTGAACGTCTCTGTACCGACAGGGGACTGTGAGCGACCGGTGCGGGTAGCCTCGGGGGGCTACCGGGTGTCGAAATTCAGTCCCATATTGAGGATCGACGTTCGAATTCGGCGGTCGACTCCATGTTACCCGTCGCCATGTCGTTCCGCTCTAGATCACTAACCCTGAGCAATCTCCGGGCCCGACTTGCAGAGACGTCCCCTAACATTCGACCTTTCGGCCCCAAGCTGGACTCCATAAGGCTACGGGGGCCTAGTCGGCGATTCGACGTTGCCTGCTGGGACCCTCGTTTCCCAGAATGTTACTCACCGGCGACGACGATCGCTGCCAGGAACAGCAGCACCAGCGAGGACCTCATCCTCGTTCGAGGAGCTACCCTGAGTCCCGACCGACGTTCTCACGTGATCACCGTCGTATCCACGGTTCCCCCTCGGTTACACCTGTCGCCACCGGTCCGTGATAGGTCCCAAAAGGCCGCGTACGGGTCCACGAGTCACTTCCGCCGGGTCTATGCGAACGTTCGACAGATATTGATCAGCGCTCGCGGGCGCTGTGGCTCAGCGGGGTCCTGGACTTCCCTCGAGCAGTTTCGGGTTCTCTTTCTCGGCGATGCGCTTCAAGGACACGGACCTTGAAGGTGTAAGGTACCGCTCGCGGACTGACCGAGGCCCGCCACTCGCCGAGCCTTATATTTCCACCACCACTCGGCCCGTGAACCGGCCCCCTCTTTCTCCGGTTCCGACCGCTTCGTGGTCTGTGCATGGGTCTAAGCTGATTCAGGAGCTGCTCAGGAGATCACGCAGTGGCGTAGGAGTGGCCAAGGGGAGGACTTCGGAGATCCAACGATCTTCATGGACGCCCGGCGTGCGATGTGTACCCAGGTCTGGGTAAAAATATATTTTTTCTAAATACTCAATGGACTAAAAATATTTTGATCCTCTCGTGTAATACAGAATTTGGCAAATAAACTTCTTTCGAAATAGCTACGCGTGGAAATTACATTCCAAATGTATTTAACATTAATATTCGTATGTAACTATTTCAAAAAAAGTTTATTTGCCAAATTCTCCAATTTTGCCAATACACGAGGAGGTTACAATATTTGTAGTCTATTTACTATTTAAAAAATCTATTTTGATCCAGCTCTGGGTGCACCCGAACGATTCAGGCGACACAGTGGACTCTGATTGGAGTTTCGAGTCGGTAAAGATCAGTGGAGGTCGTTGAGGTCTTCTGGCACATTTCGAAGGTAGATTAGGGCGCGACAAAGAGATTTGCAGTCAAGTATTCACCGATGAGAGAACATTTCTAGTCGAAAGCAATTTCTGATGTTCCGGTCCACAATGATACGTAAGGTGGACCAAGATTTTGAAAAATTAGCTACTCTCTGACTACGAATATATTTTGGATTAAATAGCTGCGCATAGCGCACGCGGAGGAAACGAAGAACATTGCAGTCGGACTTTGAGGTTCGAGTCTGTGTGTCACGGACATGAGAACCCCGTGAACGCATGGGGTTTTCCTAGCCCGTACGTTGGAAAGTAGAACCATCGCGTCTAACTACTTTGAATTCTCGTTTAATTACAGTAGACCCCTGTTTGCACGAGCGCGACAATAATTAAACGTCGTGCGTTTATCTTAACACATTCTTTTACCGCAAGCCTATTATTAATTCGGTTTAATAGGATATTTTATAATAATAGTACATCAAGTTATTTATTTATTAGGCTCTTCAATGATCGTGTCTAAAAAAAGATTGATGCTGTCGAAGGAAATTGTTGAAGGAATTGTGTTGATCTAAATAATTTCATGGATTATAGATGAGATTGTTGCACAATTTTTTTAAAGAAATTCTTAATCGTTGGCCGTCTGTTATAAAAGATCCATTAGAAAAATCTATCTATTAGAAAATCGTCGTGTTAAATGGAGACAAACGCTTGTCATTCCACTAATTAATTTAACGACTGCTTAAAACGATCTACGATCGTCGGATGGGCATCGATAAAGATTCTTTCGCGAGGAATAGTTAGCTACCCCCGACGCGGCTCTAACTTTCATCGAAATTTTACGAGTCGAAAGTTCCAGGTCGCCGTTCCCACCGAATCCCGTGGAATCGTTTTGACCGGGCACAGCCGCGTGCTCGCGCTCCCCCAAGATCAGGATCGCGGTAAAACTAGCACGGATCGAGACGGATCGATCGCGAGTTGCGCCGCGCTTCGCCATAAAACATCGCTTTACGACGAAATTTCGACCGCAGGAATTATAAACTCGACGATGCTCGGGACAACTTGGTTCATTAAAAAAGTACTTATTGTTGCGGGAGCAAAGAAGAAAGGAAGGCGAGGCTCCGATCTGCTTCGTTGGTCAACGGTTGTCGATCGCCGGACGACGCTCCGGCGAACAGAATCGTTGGAAAATAAAAAGCCGGGGGCACGGAGGGAGACAAAGTGAGAAGGGGACGCGGGGAAAACGGGATGGCGCAATTCGCGGATTTTCGCAACGTGGAATTTTACGCAACAGAGAAAATAGAGTTTTCCGTCGGTTCGGAGACGCGAGCTCATTTGCCATCCAGTCGAAAGTGAAACGGACTCCGGCTGCGATCGTTAGGCCGGTCGAACGGTGCAACGGAGTTGCAATCCATCAAGGAGACGCATTTTTCGCGTAACCCGAACCTTGTGCCTGTGCTACGTCGACACCATCATTCGCTACCGAACGAATTAATGTTTCGTTGGTTTTCAGGAACATCTTTCTTACGTTAAGCCTTTATGAAGTAATCGTCTAGGCAAGCAGTTTTCCATTAACTTTAATTTGCAGATTCGCAAATCAGATTATTGATTTTATAGCATTTTATAATCCCACAATTGTCCCGTAAGTGTTGCAATTTTTAGCACCGTAAAATGTTACAGTCTCTATCAGTTGCTCGAAGTAACTCTGCTAATTGATTCTCTCGTCTATCACAGGCTGCTGCGAATAAATTATTGTTATCGAAATGATAATAAATTGGTGAAGTATTTTCTTTCAAATGCACGGAGAAAGATAAACTCACAACCCAATCACGCGTTAATATCACAGAATTCAGAGTTACAGTTCAGAGCATCTTTATTCATTGTAAATGTTCTATTTCTTTCGTCGATCTGTGGACATTCAAGATGGCCGCCGCTGGTACCACATTCACAGCGACTAAACTATTTTGATTTCGTTTGCATCTGAATCCTTTACCAGATTATGATGACCGCGACCCGGTAGCTCGCGTAAAACATTATACATTAAAGCAACATCATTAATATAAGCCAATGTAATTATTTAAAAAATTATGGAGGACGTTTTAAAATATTAGCAGATTTAAGTGCGGATCAGGCCAAGTGAGGATCTCTTTGTATCAACGTAAGAAAAAGTGTTGTTCGAAGTATATTTATTCATCAGCTGTTAAATAAGACGTTTAGGTACCTGCAAAAATGAAATATAAAGAAAACATTGTTGGATCGAAAATACATGTTTAAAATTCTGTGGACATTTGTTGACCCTCCCTTAAGCTCGCTAAGATTAACTCGTCAAGTTTGCGATGTTTCAACGTCAATTTATACTCGCGCTTACTAGTTTGAAAATTATGCAATATTTACTGAAACAATAAACACTGATAGTAATTAACAGTCCGGTCAAGGGTTAAAATAGTAAAATAGTCGAATGGGATCGAGAATGTCTTAACGCTCTGATTTCCAACAGATGAAATTTCCATTGAGGATTACCATGTGGAAGAGACGAAGTGTTCCCCGGTTCGGGAATTGTGTTCGTCGCCATGTTGGATTCCTGGTGGCCATTAGTCGGCGGGGCACGCGGTGAACGGAAAATCCGATTCCCGAAATGTCAGTGCGGGGGAAGGGCTCACCTGGCATTTCGGAGCAAGTGACGATCCTCATAGGAAGTCTCTAGCTATCCTCTATTGCGCTATCGCCTCTGTCTCGGCGAAGACTAAAGCCGACCCTAAATGCCAAGATTCCCGCGAATCTTAGCCAGTCGATGACTCGGTTAGAAGTCGTTCCATTCCGAGTTTCTGCTGCCACTCACCGTTTACGAAATCGCGGGATTCCCCGTAGCTACTTTATCTTTTTTTTAATGCGAAATCGCCACACCAAATGATCCACCATCGCTCACATTACGTTCACAATTAAATTAATTGGACTGGACTATCGCTTCCTCGAGAGATCCACGGATCCGTACATCCTCGTAATGGACCCGCTCCATCAACGAGGGTCGAGGAGGAAGTGCACGTCTCGCTTCCTGTCTCGATTCATCGGATCGCATGATCGAAAGCTACCATACTCGAGAAAGAGGGAGAAGGTTCTCCGCGATCCATAGATCTCGGATTGTCTGAAACGACCCAGGATGCACTTAGAAAGCGATCGATCCCAACCGCGTACAATTCCCATCTGGCATCGCCATTCTGCTCCGCGAATTCATTGTCTCCCATGTTCCGCCTACTTTTCTCTGATGAATCTATCATTTCCAGGAAATTATGGGATCGTACGAGAGGTCGGGGTTCACGTGATCGAGCCACGGGATTACCCTAATCGTGCGCGGACGGGGATCCGTTCGCGCCAGCCGTTCTTCTTACGTTCCAAAGGGCAAATTCCTGAGAACGAACTCGATAATCCATGATCGAGCCGGCGCGATCTTCGCTGTGAAATATCGATCCGAGGACGGAGCGCAGTCACGCTTCCTGGAACCACAATCGATGTATACCAATCCGTTTCGATCGGGACGAAGCAAATTGGCTGATGCGCAAAAACACGATTTCCCTTTTTTTTTGTCGCTTGGATCCTGAAGAATTCGGTCTTTTATTTTTATCGCGGCGACTTCCTAAAAAACAATGTTATGTCATCTTTACCTATAAAGTTTTTCAAGGACTGATCGTTCAACGATTATGTAAATGCTTCCATCAATTTTTTGTATTTTATTTTGGCATTAATAGGTGCCTGACGTGTTTTATTTAACAGTATTGTATAAATAAATATAAATCGAACCGAGAAAATTATATTTACAGCAATTTCTCTTACGTGGGCACAAAATGACCCTCCCTTAACACTAGAACTACCGACCCCTAAACACGACTAACGTATATTGTTATAAAACAGTGTCAAGATGGATTTATTAAAATTTCGTATGACTTATCTTGTAATAAAATTAATATTATAATAAAATTATATTAAAATTATATACTTCAATAAAAAAGTGTACCCAAAAATTTCTCCTAGAAATAGTTTTATAATATCAGAAATTGTAAACAGAAACAAGTCATTTTGACTGTCACTCGCCTTAAGCGTCCCAGGGTTAATAAATAAATAGATTACGGCAATTGTAACCGATCGTTTATCGCCACACAGTTAATATTGTCCTTTCAGACCACAATGGAGAGTTTTGAACGGCTTTCACGCGGAGAAACAGCGTTCAAGGATCGCAAGAAAGGACATCGTCGTCATCCGCAAGCAAAGAGCCGCGAGCCTCGCGTTTCTGCTATTTTCCCCCCGGATTAGCGAGAAGGAAGACAGCCGAGGAAAGGAGCGGGCGGTCGGTTATCCTTCGCGAGCTTATTCTATTTAAAGGAATGATCGCTCGGAATGCCGACGATCGTTCCTCCGTCCCTCGAAAACCGCACGCGCGGCTCCGAGCCGCGCAACCGCTGAA